TGGGCAGAGTTGCACAACAATCTCATCTGTCATTGAGACATTTCTGTAAGCATGGGGAGGAGGTGGATGAAAGGAAATGTAAAATATAGGTAGAGTGGTACAGGTCTTATCACTGGCTGATAATGGTCTATATTAATGACACTGTTGAGTGCAGTTCACTTTACATGGTTCAAATTATTATTCTGTTATAGTTTATTAAATATTTTATTACACTATTTGGTTCAGAATATATTTTCCCTGTGTTCCTCCTCTAAAAATTAGGTGCGTCTTAAGGTCAGGTGCGTCTTATGGAGCAAAAAATACGGGTATTTGTGCATATATCTAGGGTGTACCTACTGAAGCTGACCACTAGAGGGAGCTGTAGCCCATGCAATGTATAGCATTCAGTACATTCACATTATTCAGCTGGGGGGGCTTGGAACCAATTCCTCACGAATATCTTGGTCCTACTGTATTTACATTTGAGTAGACTTTTGTAAGACTGCATTGCTAAATGTCCTTAAATATGTGAAGTACATACGGAGCAAGAGCAGAGAATATATGCACCTCTCCCCCGCAATGTTGTAGGACTATAACTGCCTTCAGTTCTAGACAAGTATAGCCAGTAGTAAAAAGCCATGGGAATTGCAATACTGATATAACTGAAGGGCTATACATTTCATCCCTGACATACAGAGAGTTTTCTAGAGATAACCAAATGGAGTGAATATCTTTTGTGCCCTAATGGGCTCAACATTTATAATCCTAGCAGCAGAATTTGCCTCATCCGCCAATCATCCTGTAAATTTTCAGAACCACAAATCTCACGACATTGTACCCAAGTGCTTAGGAAAATAGTATATTTTATTGCTATAGTTATGTGAGAGACAATGGTGAATTAAAATTATACATACTGAAGACTGGACTGCATTGCCATTTTGGCTCAATATCTGCTTGTGAGAGTTACAGTGGCTAATAGACAAGATAATGGAGGAATTCACACAGGATCTGAAGAGTTGAAGTTTAGATCATAAGTTGAGAGATCTATGCCAGTGCTTTCAAACTTTTCTAGTAAAATTGAGACCAGCATGGAAAGCCTATTATAGCCATTTCACAAGCTGGTCAAAGGTATAGTTAAACTTAAGAGAAACTAGCACAGATTGTTGCTGAAGCTTCCCTCACTCCACTCCAGTGGGATATATATTTGAGAGTATATTTACCAGTTTCTGGATAAACCTTAGCAGTTCAAGGGGAAAATAATAGAAGTCTTAATCCTGCAGAAAATCTATGGATGAGCGCATACAGTTTTTTTCCCAGCAAGATGAGTAAGCAAAGGCTTCTATTCTTGCAACATATAGTTTGAGACAGGAAGTGAGTACCAAAAGCCCAACCATCAAAATCTATAATGCACTTTTTGGAACAAAAACTATACAGCTCAAAATGATATTGGTACTTGAACTCCATTAGAGTGAATGTGGATGAGATATGGGGGCCTTTAAATATACTAATTTTTTAAAGGATATAAACACATTAAGAGATTTTAGTATAATCTATCCTGATTTTTTCTATCTGCTGGTTCTTTTGATTCTAAAAGAATGTTTTCTTTGTTGTATTTAGATGTACAGCATACGTCCTCCCAAAGATTATACATGTTTCTTTATTCTCTGTCTCAGTTCTCTTTCTTTTTTCAGGTGGCTGGCTAATTGTTGTATCTACAAATTGCCGGGTTTTTTTTTTAACTGTTGTTAGTGTTTGTGTGAGGTAACATCTCAGCAGTTTTCTCAGTGTTTCAGTCATCCATTGCTGTTGAAAGGTATGCAGGCTGCTGCTTCCCTTCTTCTCTTGTCTTCTCTGCACTCTCCATCCACCTTCCTTCCTTTGAGGTCTTTCAAAGATTGTAGCAAAAACACAAAGGGTGCCTGATAATGTAATTTACTTACATTACTAACCTCATTATCTCTATGAGCCATTTTATTATGATTGTTCTATCAAACAACTTCATGAGTAATCAAGCATTAAAAGTCTACCTGAACAGTTGTGGAACATGTCAGTTGGGTGGTGGAATCACTAGGGCATTGTATGTCGCCTGTTCCTACGTGTATCCCAGAATACAGTTAAGATTACCAAGGGAAGCCTGCTTCAAGTAATCCCATTTCCTTATGGTTAGTTCCGAGGAATAAAGGCTTCCTCCAGAGTGGATTCACTAGTCTTGCTCTGTCATAATGTTAAGGGCTTGTTCTCAAGATTGATGGGTTGATTCTCTTGATGTTGGTTACTCCTACGCTGATTCATAGATTGATTTTGGTTTTAGCCATGCTCTGTTTTTTATATATAGGAAAACTACTTAAAAACTCAGTTCAGTACTATATGGTTTTTAATATTGATTTGTATGCAGGGGCTGTATAAAAGAGCAAATGTACTTGTCAGATAATCACTTCAAGAGACAGCTTGGCTGTGTCCTTTGCTGTAGAAGGACACAAATGAGAGAATACTGTAATAGAAATGTGTGTGACATGAATTGATACATCTGGTTCAGCTGTCATGGCAAAGTTGTAAGGAATGGTGAGAAGGTACATCAGTTGAAAAAGAAAAGAAAAGATGTTATAAGCCATTGGGAGTTTGCTGTTAGCTAATACACACATTTCGCTTTTTGTGAATGTTGCACCAGTTTCTTTCCCTGGAAATAAATTATGATCAGTGATAATCATATTTTGTCTGATGTAGACTTCATGGTAGGGTGGATAGAAATCAATGATTTTTAAAAATCAAATTTAATTTAAATCAATCACTATTTGAATTAAAACAAATATTTAAATAATCAAAACTTTGATTTAAAAAAATATTAAATTGTGATTTAAATCATGGCAGTTCTGATTTATTTCAACCAAGTACCCAAACCCTTAGTGGCCAGATTCTGATTTAACCATGCCATTTTGAACTTCGTCTTCTATAGGATGATTACAATCACATTCATGGTGGTAAATGGACAGTGAGCAATCTTCGCTTGTATCTTGAAAGCACTCGAGGAAAAGAGGTCACCAACAAGCTGTTTGATGAAATACACTGGATAATCGTGCAGTCACTAAAGGCTGTTGCTGTGAGTAGAGAAACTAATTTACATTAAAAATTTCAGAATGCTTCCTTGGTTACTAGAAAAACAGAAGACCCATCCAATTGCCTTCAGTACCTTGTTGATTGTAATATACATATTTGCTAATGTATTCTTTTAAACATGTATCCAAGCAAATATTTTTGGAGGGTTTTTTATTATTTCCAAATATTCTTACTATCCTGATTTATTTCCTTAATGCATGTTTGTTCATTTATATATTCTGCTGATCTGAATTTCATGCAAATTAAGCAGGATAGTGTAATTTAACTGGAGGGAGGAACAGCGTTTGTATCAAGCTCTGCTCTCTTTTTAATCTTTATTTTTAATACTTACGAACTATTCAACTGCTCAAGTTGATTCATTAAAAGAACTTTGCTTCCCGGCGGTGGCTGGAACCAAAGAGAGCAAGAAGCACTGACTCTCCCAAGGCAGTTTATCAGCAACACAATGTTTGGAAAGGACTGAGATTGTTTTGAGGAAAATTCAAGGCCGTACAAGAACTACACTGCAATACTGTGAGTTATTTAGAACCTAGGTTCCCAACCTTTGTTACTCCGATGTTTTTGAACTGCAACTCCCAGAAACCCCAGCCAGCACAGTTGGTGGTGAAGGCTTCTGGGAGTTGCAGTCCACAATTCCTGAGTAACCCAAGGTTAAGAACCAGTGAAATAATAGAGGTCCAGGCAATGTGTCATTTTTAAAAGAACCAAATAAAAATTGTTTATTGTTACAGATGATAGTTCAAGCAATGTTGTTAAGCCTTAACAAACATCCTCCTTCATCCACTCTCAACCACCACTCTCCTACCCAAACTCCCAAAATTCTCCATACTCTCAGTCTCCCTCAACTCCCCCTCCCCCTCCTCCTGCTGAGTCTCTTATATCTTGTGACTCCATCCCTCCAGCACTTCCACTGGTCTATGCAGATATCACATTAATACTCATGACCTGAGCGGATACCACAGTTATGCAAAAATAAGTCCTACTATGCTAGTTCTTTCATGATGTTAGCTTTCCTTTCTGCCACCTGGAGTTAAGCACATATGATCTTTTAGGTATCTCAAAAGCTGGATCAGTAAGGCAAGCAAATGTTTTACACTCTAAGCCCAGACATAACTTCTTGTACAACCCTGTGATATGCCCAGAGATGGGAAACATTATTGTTGTTTTTTAGGACAGTTTCCAGAATTGCTGGTAATTAAGAATTCAACAAATTTATTCCTCATTATATGCCATTTTTGGGTGCAGCTGCTGTGTGGCATTTTTCATATTTCCGTGTTTCTGTGAGAATGAGTAAGCACATCCTTCATATTTACATGGTCCTGCTCCTTCTCCCCTTCTTGTGCAAATATTTACTTCTTATCTTCCTTTGTGTTAAATCAAACTCATAGTTTGTTGTTACCTTCAAAAGGGCAAATCATGGTTTTCAGCATACTTCCTTACTTCACAATCTTTGCTTACAGGGAGCTCTATCACAACAGGTTTGCATTAGCCGAGGGATGAAACAAGGTTGCATTTTAGCACCTTTCCTCTTCAACTTTTATATAAACAGCCTTATCCCTCAAATGGCTTCCCCTACATTCTTCCTTCCAACCATTGGTTGTAAGATCTCAATACTGCTTTATGCTGATGACTTGGTTTTGCTATCTTTGAATAAAATTGGTCTTAAAAGAATGCTGTCCAAATTTGGTCAGCTCTGTAAAGAGGAACGGCTAACAATGAACTATACCAAAACAAAAATTATGGTCTTGGCAAGGCAGCCCCTAAGCATAACTGGTCACTGGATGCTCATGATATTGAGCAGGTACACTCATTTAAATATTTGGGCCTTCAATTTTGTGAGAAACTCTCCTGGAGACAGCATTTAAATTTTACCATCTTATTGAGCACGGAAGAGAGTCCCTAAGCATAACTGGTCACTGGATGTGTATGCTATTGAGCAGGTACACTCATTTAACTTTATGGGGCTTTTGTGAGAAACTCTCCTGGAGACAGCATTTAAATGTTACCATCTTATTGAGCACCAGATCAATAGGGCAATTAAAAAGATTTTTCTACAGCAGAGGAGGCCAGCTGGTAAATCCTGTTCTCAAGGTGTTCATTGTCAAAATTCTAGCACGAATGCTCTGCGTCTGCAGGACAGAACTATGTGGAGAGGCAGCCAAGCCCAAATCTGAGATCCTGCAGAACAAATTCATGAGGCTGATACTGGGGCTCCCCCCAGGAACTCCCTCGGTTCACTTCAGAGCTGAGTTAGGCCTACCCTCAATTGCCGCTAGAATCAATCTGGCTTATCTTAGATATAACCATAGACTGAAGAGTTTGGAGAACTCCTCCCTGACAAAGTGCTGCTGGTTGGAATAACTGAAGTCTGGTGGATGGGCACAACAATATCACAAAAAATTAAAGGTTCACAACCTTCTAATGGAAATGTTCCTTAGTTTAAGTTCTCGCAACCTTAGGAACTGGATCTTCGATCTTGATACTAGCCAGGATAGGGTGGCTATTGTTGGGTCCTGTTTTTCCACCTGGTATCCCCAACTTCAGGTGAATCATGCAAAACCAAAATATTTTGAGTCATTGACTTTTCCCCAGATTCACAGAGCTTTTACAGAACTTAGATTTGGACAGATGGCCTCAGCATACCTCGAAGGGAGATAAAAAGGAAGTCCAGTTGAGGAACGAAAATTTCTCTTTGGTTGCAACCAGATTGAGGATGTAACTCATTATCTCCTGTTCTGTCCTCTCTATAAAAACCCTAGAGAAAGATTTCTGTTACCCATCATTCAGATATATTTTAACTGTACCACCACTGAAACAATAGTAGGATTGCTTGTTGATACACAAATGCACATTACATATGCTGTAGCACAATTTGC